AAAAGTAGAGCAATGTTCTACTTTTGCCGCGTCGACGGAGGCGTCAGCCAATCAAATCCCGCGTGTGCAAATCTGACAGTACAAGCGCTAGCCAATCAAACCGTGTGTATGTTGGGAGAGCCAGACCGCAGTTATTTCCCATATGTCAAAAAATGGAGGAGAAAATTATCGTGGCGGTAGGGAATCACCCGGTACTATATGACTAGGGCTGTGCAATTTAATCGATCCTGCGATATATATCGATATTTAGTTTTCCGAGAAAGTATCAATATTTCAGCCACGGGTATCGATACATTAAGTCTGATAACTGTGTTCGTTATTCTCGCGTCCAGGAGAGAAGCTTTAAAAAGGAGACTAATTGAGTCTCTGAGAAGGTTCAAATGTATACTTTAATTAATAAAAAGCGCGGTAATGTTACAAGCAGAAGATGGTTCAGTCAGAAAAACAGCTGTGTTCTGGCTCTGTGAGCGAAGGGAAGAGAGCGACCTCCATCTTTACAGCTGTTAAATATCCTCTGCTGGCTCCTCCCTGTGGGCTTGTGGGCGCTGCTGGGGGCCGGCCCTCCATGTCTCCAATGTTCGTTGTTGCGCATTACAGAGGATTCAGACATTGTACATTAAATATATAACTAAACACGCCTTTTCTCCTCCTTATCTCTTTCATGACTTTTCATTTAATACATTTTAAAACGCTGTAATCAATACTCCAAAAATACCTCACGGCTGGTATCATTTCCGAATGTTGTCTCATGCTACCCACGTCTGTAAACAAACGTATTCAAATAAACTACCTTCATTTAATATTCAGCAATAATAATATCTCGACGTCTATAGTTGTAGTGTTGAAATCAGTAGGTTTCGGTGTGTAACACTCCGTGTCATATCGCTACTCAATTCACCTCTATAGTAAATGGTATATTAGCCACATGCTAAATGCTAACCGGAGATGAAGGATTTTCAGAATAAAAGCTTAACAACTGGTTGTGCACAAGAACTTCTGGTTTTTCAGTATAAAACAGCATTTAAACTGACGGTATGTTTAAGGTACTTTATGCCATCAAAACATTGATTTTAATTTCTAACAAGTCCCATTCAAATCCCCTGTGTTCCGCCACCTGCAGCACCTTTTAATTCTCCATTGTCCATTGTGATACTGCACTTTATGTACTTACGTTTCAAAGGCTTGTAAGCTACAGTTTGCACTGTTTCAATAAATGAAACTAATTTTCTCACCACATCTTTTGATTCATTTTGTCCAGCATTTACAAGCTGTAGACTCTCTGTCAGAGCCATATATTGTATAATTGATGCTTTCAGTTTTCAGTTGAATTAATTAAATCCAAGTCAATGGAACACTCACAAGATGTCACCAAAATCACACTGTCCCTTTAAAATCTTTCAGAAAATGATATAAGTGTATCGAATTATATCGAATCGTATCGTTGGCTAAATATCGTGATATATATCGTATTGTGAGCTGAATATCGTGTATCGTATCGTGTCGTGAGATTAGTGTATCGCTACAGCCCTATATATGACCAGTCCCTCTTTACATACAGGGATACAAACCGGAGGAGCCAGGTATGGGGGGAGGTGGCAGAGACAGTGGGTGAAACTGGTAGGTTTTCGCCTGTTTGGGGAGTTTATATCCAGTGTACTTCGTTTGAATGGACAGCTAGCAAGCATAGACAGTATATTTAGCCAGCATGGATGTAGCATGAGCTTTGCTTTGTATGTCCGGGGCGGGACATTCAGATGATTGGTTGTTGGTCGCGTTGCTCGCGTTGACTCCCCAAGCTCAAGACACGCCCACCGCCAAGCGGCAACGCACGCCGCCGTGTGTAGGCTCCGTTAGAGTGATGCGAATATTCGCATCGCGTCCGTTGTGAACGCAGCATAATGCAGTTCAGAAACCACTGTTCTGACGCTTTTAAAGCAACTTTTAACAGTGTGAGGGGCCCAAAGGCCATTGTGGCCGTAGGACGTACAATTATTTGTGGGGCATAACGGCCAGACCGAGGGGCTACGACGGCCATGGCCGTCATGGCCGCCGTGAAAATCCCACCCTGGCCAGTACTCTAAATCAGCAACTGTTTCAAGTCAATTTATTTATGGTTTCGGCTCTGAGTCCGCACAAGTCTGCTATGTTTTGCACAGTGAGTCAGGATTTGCGAATCTCTGAGTCTGCTGTTGACTCGTGCACAATAGAGAACCGCAGTGACATGTCCTAAAACCCGGAAGTAAGTTAGCATTTTTACCACGTCCGGTTCCTTCGATAAAAAGCAATGCAATTTCTCCATAGGATTTTGGAAAATAGCTCCAATTAAAGTCTGTGTTTGACACAAATTGAAGAGACGGATCACGTTTTGTTCTACGACATTAAATACAGCAGTGACCCCGCTGGTGATTTTTGAAGAGTTTATGTGTCTGAAAAACGATGGTTGTTAACAAGTGGCTGAATAGGACTACAGAAGTTGTCCAGGCCGTTTATTACACCGAACACGTACTGTAAAACACTCCCGCTAAGTTTGTTTGCCCTGTTCTGCTTGAAAGCAAGTACCTGCCTCCTGCAAACTGTTCAAACAAACACTTCAACTTGTACCATTTACAATCTGTATATTTGAATATGGATCTTAAGTTGACGTGACGTTGAAGCAGCGACCCTGCTGTAGTTCCTTTATAGCATAACGTTAGCATTTTGCTTCTTGCGACTAGATTTATGCTTCGAAAATTATAAAAAGTAGGATAGACATGTGGATATTATCCGGCTGAACAAAACGTGATCCGTCTCTTAAATGTGTGTCAACCACAGACCTTATTTCGAGCTATTTTCCAAAATCCTATGGAGAAATTGCATTGCGTTTTTGACGAAGGAACCGGAAGGAGTTTACATCCGGGTTTTAGGATGCGTCACTGCGGTTCTCTATAGCCGCGGGAAGTAGGGGTGCTGGAGGCGGGGCTGCGAATGGTGTATATTTGAAAAACTCAATGTTACTGTTGTTGAAATCTCTCTCTTTTTTGTCCGCACCCCCTAAATAAAATGATTTTTCCCAGTTCCCGCAGCTATGCTCTTGCATGACGAGTCTGGATCTCTGGATCTGCTACGGTTACGGCTCTGAGTCCGCACGAGTCTGCAGGAAGTTTCACTGATCCGCGTCCACTCCCCTGAGCCAAATGATAACTTCTGGCAGCTATCCTACTTGCTAAAGGCTAGGCAGATGGACTGGGGTACGTTGGAATGTGACTTTACATGTTATAAGGAGAGGAACTAGTGACGCAATTTGTAGTTTTAATTTGTACGTCACAAGGTGTAGGACTCAAAGGACTCGGGTTAATCGAGAGGGGAGACTCGTCACGACCAGCTCATTACTAGGATCCGGGTTAATGATCCGGATGAATCAGGACTCACCCATCTCATACGCCACACCTCCAAGGAGCCTGCGTTGTGAAGTGCCAAATAACTAGCGCTTAGTCCGCTAGCTCAATGCTAACATATAATGGAAAACGTAATTGACGCGCTAACTGAAATTAGCATTTATATCTCGGTAATGTTTGACAACAGTCAACATGCTTAAAATAAACAAACGTCATTAATTTCCTGTGCTCTGTGGAAATGAACGCATGACTGCTATTATTGATGAATTAATATTATCTGTAAATGTATTTCATCCAGCTGAACGAGGATAATTAGCTCCTTCCAAAAAGGGACAAACACCTCACTGACTTCTTCCTCGTTTTCCCTCTGTGTTTTTTTACTTCGGCACTTCCTACAAAAGACAAATCGTTAATTCCTAGTCCTTTTTTTCCTGATAAAGAACTTATATTTGTAATATTACATATCAGTAAACAGAGGAAATCATCGTTAAAAACCGTGCTAAAAATGTAAGACTTACCACTGCAGTCCGTCGACGTTTGAGTGTTTCTCCAGTTCCATCCTCTTTTTGCAGAGTTTGCATTTCATTTTTCCTTGAAGCAACTCCCTTTTCATTAGCCATTCAATCACATTTTGTTAAAGTCTGTCTTCCGTCAATAAGACTGAGTATTTTCGTGTGCAGTGTCATGATAACCTAAAACCATACTAACACCCAGCGTAGTTCAAGATGTGCTGCCGCTGGGCCAGACCGGGACGTGGAAGCGCAACGAACCAGTGTTGCCAACTCCATAGCTGTCCGAAAAGTCGCCAGAAGTGGCTAAATGACGTCATCGCCTAATTTGCATATCATGTAATGGCGGCTGTAGGCAAAAAACGTTCCCAACCCTTCAAGGATCAAAACTTGAAACCACCGGAGTTAAATCCAGACGACAGTAGATCAGAAATGTCTTTGCCTTTTGAGTATGTTTTGGGGTTTTAACATGACAGTTTGGCATAGAAATCCCCCTTACAATAAAGGCAGTATGCCCGTGTGTCATCTCCAATAAATGGCTTCAACCATCCTTTATACTCAGGGTTTGATTCCCACTCCTTTCTGTATTTTTGAGAATACAATTTAGACTGTGCCATGATGTTTAGCTTGTCACAGAGAGGCACACACACAGTGGACGAGGTGATTGAGTGACTGAGGCTGTGTGAGGCAAAGTAAAGCAAAGGCAGTTATTTATTATAGTGTGAAAGTGAGTGAAGAAACATTTACATTCAACATTTAAATCCCGCTCAAAACCAGGACGGCTTGGCAGTTGGCGCATGCGCAATTCATTTGCAGTCTCGACGCGGGGGAGTGTGGTTGTCTCCTCTCTGCTCTGACTGCAGCAGCAGCTCTGCTGCGGCCAGGCAACTGTCAGTCTGAGCGCCTGTGAGTACTATGGGAGGGAGGCGGGGCTCACGGCAGCACCGGCTCGTTAACTGCAGAACAATGTGAGTCTCCAAACACCAGAAAAGTCGCTAATAACACCATTATAAATCGCTAGATTAGTCGTTAGTCGCTTTTGACACAAATAAGTCGCCGGAGGGTTTGGAAATCCGCCAAATTTAACGAGAAAATCGCCAAGTTGACAACACTGCAACGAACTCCGCGGAGCGCCCTAGCACCCTGATCGTCCTTTCTTGTTCACACGATTCACACCAATAGTTTTGATATTTTTAATCAGGTATTTGATCTTCCTTGTTAAATTGACCAATCACAGCTTCTGTAGCTTTACTGATATACAATTAAAATATTAAAACCGTAATAAAGTGTTAATGCACTGCAAATCGGGATCCGGCTGGAGCACTACGCAAGACACGCCCCAACGTACATCTCGGCTAGTGAGCGTGACACGTGAGTTCATCCTCTTCACGCTTGGAACTCAAAATGAAGATGAGGAGAAGCAAACGCAAGAACATCGGGCCCCCCAGGCGTTTTTTGTCAGAATGTAAGTACATGAGTTGAAATCATTTGTTGAGGTTGCTAGCTAAACCATAAGGACCGTCCGTGACACAGGTGTTACATGACATTCAAATGTTCTGGAAAGTTCCTTATACAGATTTAGACTTGTTTTTATCTCATGAAGTCCAGTGACACAACCTGAACAGTCTGGTGATGTCCATGTGCCTGGCTAACACATGTGACAGAACTAGCTGCATTTCAGAAGCTTGTTTTTTGTTGCTAAAGGTACAATTCAAGCCATTTAAGAATTAAAATGCTTACATAACATGTCCTTTGTTACATTTAAACTGTTAACATTTCTTGATCAAATTGATATGAAACAAATGAGATAAATATTGCTGTGACACTAATGTCACATCGGGACATTAACCTTAAACTTTCACAGTAAATCGGGAGTGACACATATATCACAATTAGAAATATGATTATGATCTGCTCAGTTAATTTAGCTGATTCAATTATATTTAGTTAATATATTCCTTATTCTTCAATTCAAAGAATGTTCAAACTAATTTAAACCAAAAAATCAATTAATTAAAGGTGGGGTAGGTAAGTTTCAGAAACCGGCTCGAGATACACTTTTTGTTATATTCCATGGAATGCTCTTAACATCCCGATAGCAATGAATATCTTAAGTGCTTTGACAAAAAATCCATTAAAAAAAGTCATCTGTGGAAGCCGTAATACTGTAAAAATCCGGCCCGGCTAAACGGATTGGATTGCCGCCCTGTCTGTCAGCCTTCCATCTCGTGCATGCACAAATGTATCTCGTGCCCTCATTGGGCGTGCCGTAATTGGGCGTGTATTGCGCGTTCATGTGTGTTGGAGGAGGTGCTCTGTAAGGAAGTCTGAAGGAAGGGGCGGATTATTTTCGGCTGTGTACTTTCAAATTTTAGTGCACTCGAGCCGGTTTCTGAAATGTACCTACCCCACCTTTAAGTTATAAATAAGAGTTACTTTACCATTAAAGCCCAATGTGACATTGTCAGAAATGTGGTCTATTTAGTCTAAATGATGTTCCCCTTAATTTTCCCAAAAGTAGAAATGGGTCTGGGTTCTTATGGGTTAAATTAGTTAAATTGTCAAATTAACTCTGAAATATGCCAATTACGAAGGTTTAACCTTTTATCTTAACTCTTAAATAAGTAAATGACATTAGGGCGAAAGTATTTTATTTGAACACAGCATTGGGCGATATGTGATGAAAATATAGTTAAACAGTACATTCATGAAAATTGAAATGATTGGTTTAGAACCATTAAATCTACATCTGTGGATAAATTGTTTGGAAATGATAATCAGATAGTTATACACAATTTCCATTTTTTTATCCTGAATAAAAATTCCAAATGTCATTATATTCTAACATGCATGCAAGAGTGCCTTTTCAGATATCCGGTTTTGAAAGAGTTCCCATAAAGTTATAGTATAGCTGCAAAAAAATACAAAAAAATAAATATGAATCAGAAAACGCATACTTCCGTATAGTAATGCTAGCCCTCTACATCAACAACTCTTTCTGTGCTCCATAAAGTTACAGCTGCCAAAGATTCGGCTGGCCAGCCTGAGTTGGAACAGCCCAGCTCCCACACTGTGGCAGAGGAAACGAGTAAGTGTTTGCTTTAAAATGTTAAGCATACTTTAAGGATCCACTCAGTATCAGATGGTGTACCATTACAAAGGAATAGTTGCTTAGCAGATACCAGTAAAAAACGACTTTTCTATGTAAACGTATTGTGGATTAAAGATGTCACATGCACAAAGTGAAGCCCCTTGTTATCTCCTGTGTTGAGGAGATTCTTCCACTGTGCTTTGCCATACCTTTGTTGGTGGTAGAAGTCAGGGTGGGCAGATAGTGGTTTAGCCGACAGGCAGGTTTGTTTGTGTCTAACATGCTGCTGCTAAATTGCGACCACTACTGAAACTGAATTTGGCATTTTGGACCTTTACTCAATTTCAAATATTCCCTATCGATATACAGTATGTACCATTTTGTCAACACTATTTCTAATTTATGAACTTTCTGTCTCCCCTCTTAAAGCTGTAGTGCACTGCAGTGATGGGTCTGACTCGGATTCAACCACAGGACCGCAGTCTACTGTCACAGCATCAAGTAAATGTTAGGTTGTGTAGTTAATAGGGATGTAACGATACTAAAAACTCACGGTATGATAATATCGCGATAACAAGTCCACGGTACGGTATTTATCGCGATATTGAATCATAAAGAAAAAAAATGTAAACATTTTTTGGGAATTTTTATTTTTTATTTTAAAATGTTTTACTAAAAAAAACAGTAAAACTCACTTAGTCACTCACCCAGCATCATCAGACAGGTTTTTAGGAATATGAGCATGTCCACATTTCCAGGTAGAAGCTGGGATGTTTGGGTGTTTACAATATCCCCTGCTGTGGAAAGAACTCTCTCGCTTGGTACTGATGTTGCTGGGACAGCAGTGGTCGCGTTAACCGAATATTTTTTTTAACAATGACGGAAAAATCTGAAAGCAGTCTGTCATTTTGACAGATTAGAACAAACTCGGAACAGCGCCAAAGTTTCCCCGCAGCGAGGCTCTGGTGTTATGCCGTGTTATGCATGCCCCCCAAAAGGAAATGATATAGTTTCCAAACCGTACTTTGCCGTACAGATCATTGAAATGTCTGGGAGTTTTTGCTTTACGCTGTGCCGTGAGGTGCATGCATATCGCGGTGGGCATGCAATGTACTAGAGCCCATTTGACTTCTGTGTGGTTGAGTGCATATTACAAGTTGAAGTTATTTTTTGCGATTACTTGTGAATAGGGGTGCACCGAATGGGAAATTCTTGGCCGAAACCGATACCGAAAATAGGAAACAGTTGGCCGAAAACCGAATGCCGAAAGGCCGAAAATGATTAATAGAAATATATATATATAATGTATACATTTTTTACCAATGTTGTTCAGCTACCTGATTATGGAAATAGACATGATTATGGCAAAACTTAACTTAAATAATAATCACTATTATGGGTCCATAAAACATTTATTCAGCACTTTTGAATGCATACAGTACATTTATATATGTCATGTATTATTGCTAAAAAACATTATATCGCAGTCTTAGTGTCGCCAACTCGTTTCTAATATGCAAAGACAACAAATGCGTCTATGATGTATTTTCGATCAGACGAGATCTCTCTCCCCCGTCTGTGTGCGAGGGGGCGGGGCAGTTTACACACACGCAGCTGCTACATGCAGCGGAGCACACTGCGGAGATGGCGGAGAGAACGCGCTCCGAGGTGTGGTTAAACTTTACCCGTCTCGATGTGGAGAATACTCGTTACCATAAGTGCAATAAGAGTTTAGCATGTAAGCACGAGCAATTTGTCTAAACATTTAGCAAAAGTGCACCGCATGCAGACGGAGGAATGTACCGGGTTCGACCGTCTTTCTAGCAGCTCTGTAGCTCCATCCACGAGTAACGTTTCCACGTCAGGTGTTATGTATGCTAGCAGCAACACACGGAGTTAACTACATGATACAAACATGGGTTAATGATTAGAGGAAACTGAGGTATTTAGTTTGTTAAAATTTCAGCTATTCTGTTTACAGTCTGTCATCAGATTATTTAATACGATTTGTTAAAGGCTCAGGGCAATCTCGATGACAAAGGTCAATGTCCCCCCCCCCCCCCCTGTGAGCCAGCCGCGAGCATGGTCGCCGCGTCTTTATTACGTCATCACAACAACACGTTAGGTTACCAACGTAAGCCTGTTCTGACATTCGGTGATATTTTTTCGGTGCTAAAACCCTTTCGGCCGAAAGCCGAAAGGGCCTTTTTAACCATTTTCGGCCGATAATTTTCGGTGGCCGAATATTCGGTGCATCCCTACTTGTGAAGTCAGAATCAATGATCTTACAGTTGCCTTGAAGTGAATATAGTACTATTTTGTAATGTATTATCATAGGTTTTGCAGTGTTTAAATGCAGTTGCAAGTCCCAATATAGAATTCAACAGTGTCTGTTAAATGTGATCAATGACATGTGTGCAACTTTACGACAAGACAGGCGGTCCTAGATCTGTAATTTTGACATTTTATTGTACATTTTTTGAAAACACTAAACAAAGACATGGAACCACAATCTGCCTATACATACTATTTGTGGAATAACTACAGAAAAGAGAATGTTATATTTTTGCCGTTTTTGTCATTACAGATAGTTCTGCAGCTCCCACAGCCATAGCAGCTCTGAAGTGCAGAAACAGATATAATAATGCCTTAAAAATAAGGCGAGATGTTTTAAAGGACAAATTATTAAGTGTTGAAAGCGAAAGGGACTATCTGAGGATACAGCTGGCTGAGGGTAAGCAAATCAATAATGATTAAATAATGATTTATTGGTATCTGATAGCTTTTGAGAAAGAAAAAAAAACAGGGACATACACCAAGCCCTACAACATTTCTCATCACAGTCCATGAGGCCATACATGCTTTCAGATGACTAGTTGCATCAGCGATTCAGTCATTTCACTGCAAACATATCATGACAAGCATATAGGACGGACACCACCAAATGGTGGGGTGGAGCTTGACAGAACAGGCTCCAGCTCACTTCTCTCACTTATCAACCGACAGTGGAGGGTTGGATTGAGAGGGAAAGAACAGTCACTTGTTAAAATATGTTGAGTTTGTTTGTTGGGGGGCAAACTTGGAACAGTCATATCACATGCCCCATTTGAACTAGAGTCATGAAAATGATCTCACATATTCCGTAAATCCTAAAGAACAAATGGTCTCAGTTACCTAAAATTTCAAGTCATGATATTTTTCACTATTTCAAATTTAGTGTAAAACACTAGGAATTGTCACCGATCTGCGTGAAACTCTGAACACACAATATAAGGTTTAAAGATGTTTGTAATTGTTCTGACCCTTAGTGGTAACAATAGTTATGTTCTAATCCTCTTGTTTAATTCAGCTTTGGCTCTTCTAAAAAAGGCCATAGACAAAATGGGGTCAGGCAACTCCTCTTCATCCTCCTCCTCCAGTTCCTCATCCTCTTCGTCAGAAAGAGGGAAGAAGAGGAAGAAGAACAAAGACAGCAAGAAGAAAAGATGAAAAAAAGCGAAGAAGGCAAAAGGAAAGACTGCAAAGAGAGGTACGTTGGCCACCTACACAGTGTCTGACTTGGGAAGTAAGGAGGTAGGACTACAGTGAATTATGTGACAGACTGACCATTGCTCAGTGTAGAAGGAACAGCTAGTGAACAGGGCTAACCTGCATTAGCAGGTGCTGTCAGACTTTGTGTTCATACTGAAAACACTCAACTCAAACGGATTTGCACATGCACATTAAACTTAATTAGTGGGGGAGTGTCGCTACATGCCTTAGCTTATTATCATTAAGAGAAAGAATGCAGTCTGGTGGTGAAGTACAGTTGTACAATTTATTTTACAGCTCAATAAATACTTTTAGTATGCATTAAGTCTTTAATTTCAACAAATATTCAAGTTGGGGTTGGGCGATGTGTACCCAACTGGACATTGACGATGTCCGCTGCGGCAGTGCTTGATCAGCTCCCGGGCCACAACTCAAACTAAACTCTGCGCTTCATTTACCAATGCTTTTTAGTTATTTCTGCTTTAATACGTGTTAAAAATAAAGGAGTCAGCGGTTTAACTATTATACATCGACCTCAGCTTATCCTCTCACTTTATGGCTGTTTAAAGTAATGTGGGTACTACAGTCAACTGTTCCGACACGGAAACTCTACCCGATCTTGTGGGGCAGGGAGGGGAGGGGCGCCTTTTAACTCATGATGTGATGATGGTCAGGTATCCAACGGCGATGGCTGTCATACATGGCTGATGCACGATGACATCAGCCCAACCCTAACTAGAGTAAAGTGTAGCCAGTCCAGCATCATCTTCTGGTTGTTTTCGTGTTTTTAAGTGTATTATTACATTTACAGGCGTCTGTAGATCAGATGTTTCACTTTTGTCTTGTGCAGGATACGTAGGAGAAGGGAAAAGAGGTGTCATTCGTGCTATGTACTCCGAGCAGCCTCACCCTGGGTTCTGCCAACACATTCTCACTCCCAACTCGGCCTATGTTGACGTTATGTCTGGGTCCCTGTCGTCACTTTCCAACGCAAGGGGGGCCCTTTAGCGTCGAGTTTCAACTATCAGGGAGTCCCATTGACTTGCATAGAGCTCCCTGAACGTTGGTAATAGACGAGTTGGGATCACGGCGAAATGCTCTCCGCAGATCCATTCTCACAGCGTTTATCAACCTTTTTCTAACTCAATATCAAGCCACACTTATTGTGTTTACTTCTTTATTTTAATTGAATAATGTCAGACTTTTGTTGCCGTCAGTTAGGGGGAGAGTTTCTCTAGGTCAGGGATGGGCAAATGGCGGCCCGGGGGTGCGTTTGTGTGTATTGTGTTTGTTTCCCGGGGAAACACTCACAAGAAACACCGGCTGTTTTTATGCCTGCTGTGACGTTAAGTTACCGCTTGTAATCATGCCTTTACAAGCCTAAAAGTTGTGTTTATCATCTGAATTTGGTGAAACAAGTTTAATATTCTAAAAACCAAGACTTCGTTTATTTGAAATCAGATGAAAACAAACTGTCTTAGCTAGATTCAAGTTAGACAACTAATGTCTGGGTTAGTGTTCATGACTTCATGTTTATGTCATCTTAATGTTTAATCCTAATGCACACGCATTTTCCGTGCTTTCCAATCGTTTAAAAATAGTTTTATTCCACTGTTAAATAACCTGTTCAATACAAACATGCCAATTAAATAACATTTCTGTGAACTGATATTTGTTTAGTGAGCTTATTAGAGGATGTTCCCTGAAAGATTGTAAAATGTCAATGAAGATGTCAGACTTAATTTGTTAATAATTACATACAATACATGGAATTTGTGTGCGTGTGTGTTCCAAGTGAATCTGCGGCCCCCTGGTGGCCAGTACATACATTATGTGGCCCCCACCACCATCCAAGTTACCCATCCCTGCTCTAGGTCGTCCTCAGACGAGCCCTTCATGGTCGCTTCCAGTCATCCCGGTTCTCCATACATCTGGCCAGTTCATTGGTACTTTGTGCTCCTGCGTCATTCTTGAGTACGTCCACGTATGTTGGTGTGGGACGTCCTCGTGGTAGAGTAGGGGCTCAGAATACTGAAATCTGTATTGTTTCATCGTTTTTTCCTTCTAATTTTGTATTATTTTCTAAACCACACATTGTTATTTACTCAACAATAAGACACAATTATCCTTGTGTTTATTTGTTTGATTCTATAATGTCGGACTTTTGGTGGGAGCAGCTCATAGTAGTTGCTTTAGAGAATTTTACACCCGGAAGTAAGTATTCTCTCCGCTTTGCTTGACAGTCTATGTACAAACCCCTTGATTAGTCCTAGTTGATATTGAGTTAGAAAAAGGTTGATAAACGCTGTGAGAATGGATCTGCAGAGAGCATTTAGCCGTGATCCCAACTAGTCTATTACCAACGTTCAGGGAGCTCTATGCAAGTCAATGGGACTCCCTGATAGTTGAAACTCGACGCTAAAGGGCCCCCCTTGCGTTGGAAAGTGACGACAGGGACCCTGACATAACGTCAACATAGGCCGAGTTGGGAGTGAGAATGTGTTGGTTCTGCAGCCATTTTTGCTCAACGGACGCTGGGATTTTTGAGTAGGAGGTACCTGGTGTTAAGGCCCCGATATTGAAATCACAGCATTGTTTTTTGCGTTCAAAATGAAAAACAGGCTTTAATAGAAATGTAACATTAAAGAACACTAAAGGGACTTTCACATAGGACAAGCAGGTTCTAATCCATTCATTGTCTATGTTTTTGCCGGTGCTAGAGCTGGTCAGTGCTGCACTAAGGTTGAACAAGTTTTATCTTGAGCGCAGCGCTCGGGTGTCCCGTCACATCGCGCGTCAAATAGTAAGGCGCCTTGAGACCCAGTTTGCCTCTCTTTCCGTGTCTCAAACCGGCATCTTAATTTTTCATACGCTCGACAAACCTTTGTTCTGCGCTCCATATAAGTAGGCTTATAATGATTCTATTTGTGATACTAAATATAGCCTATAATGTTAAACAGAACATGCTGTGATATCGCTGTGTTTCCAAACAACTCCATCTCTGTTGGTCTCTGCACGCTTACACTAACCTGTAGCGCCAGAATTGTCTAAATAAACGGGGAGAGCAGCTTCTCCAAACTGTTCCATTTAAAGGCTGCTGAGACATCGGATAAATGAGGATGCCAGGCTAAAACTTGGCAATATTGCTGCTGCGTTATAAATGAGAAACGGGGCAATGTCGATGTAGCGTTAAATCCACATTGTTCTGTTCAATTCTCACTGTGTGCAGTGACCTCACTCCCCCCAACCCTCCTGCGTGCTCGCCGCCGTGCACTTCGATCGTCTTATCAGTTATCTCTATTAAACATGATTGGACGATCTAAAAGTAGAGCTGATTGCCCAAACCTAACTTCTGTATATAATGGTACACACCCCAAACACAATACTAACATTTAAACAGTACTTTGAGCAAAGCTACACGACTAGTAATAATTTACACTACACCAATTGATTACACTATTTTGTATGTAAGGATTACACTACCACTATATAACACTAGTACAAGAATATTATCAATACTAATAAACCCATATCCAACTGCACTACGGACATCATTAGGATAGGCAACAACAAAGTACTGTTGTTAAATAGTTAAATATTTGTCTTTTTTTCTGTTTCAGTCCTCCTGACCCCAGAAGAGGCCATAACCGTGTTTTGGAGGCTGTGAAAAAGGGGTCGAAGTTCAATGAAGGACTTTTACCCATATATCCAAGGGGGAAGTGAAGAATGGATGTTTTTTTGTTTCAACAGGCCATTTATTTTATTTCTTTAAAATATTGACGCTCTCTATTGATTTTTGATTTGCCCATAATTGAAGTGCAGAAGAGTGCAGCTTTTGGTTTTGTTTTATAAAAGTTTTTATTTTTTTGTAATGTTCCTATAGTTAACAATATAATCATATATGACATTTTTCAAAACGTTAAAAAAGTTGTTTGAATAAAAATGTAAACTTCAGTGGCTGTAGATCCGTCATTGTCATCAACAGTGTTTGTTTGTTTGTTTGTTTGTTTGTTTGTTAAACTGCTTAACTAATGGTAAGATAATGGTGAGGAAATCACTAGTGGAGCCTCGCAGCGCCGAAACCGTGCCGTGCCACACTAATTGCAGCGCATAGGTGCGCCGCATTTTCGTCTCAGTTGAGGCCCCCTCCACAAGGTGAGGGTCCACGCAGTCTGCATGATCGGCCTGTAGGGATGGACGGCCTTGGGGAGACACTAAAGGTGCAGTAAGATTTGTATCTAATAACATCGCCACAATAATCAATAAACAATAATCGCCACATTGATATACAAATTAGGCGTTAACTAGTAATAAAGTACTATCTTGTTATCTCTTATCTTGATTAAAATGCGCTAATTTGCATGCAGTTACCAAGGCATTGCAGGTGAAAATGATACAACAGAAAAACATATCACCTCACAACTTCCCCAGATAGTTACTTACGTCAAGTCAGTATTTTACCCTGAAATGTTATGTTTAAATATGCAGATTAGCTTTAAATCTATAGATGAAAGACATGGTAGTAAAACGAACACCATTTGTGTGTTTTTGGGAAGTTTTCTTTCCATTAGAGTGAAAGAAAACATGGAAACAAAATAGACCAAAATAACAAGTAGCCTACATGAAAAATCGATCTTTTTGCCTGTAATGTCCTTAAACAGTAACTTCATCATTTTGATTGTTGGCTGCTCATTTAATAACAATTAATTTTACTAATTTGTCTGCTCTTGTGCGTAGTGAATACTAGGCTATATTTAACTTTTTGTTTTAAAACGTTTTTTTATATATTATTATGGGAAGTGCCCTTTTTCTCATTTGAGCTCCCACCCCCCAAAATGTCTGTGCACGTCCCTGAAGCACATTTTGTAAAGTGTTGCCAACGTTTAAAGTCCCAACAGTTTTCTCTGTTTTGCTCAAACATGTAACTTTTGATTATACAGTATATCCACTGTGAATGAAGGACACATCAGGATAAGAAAGGAAGGGAGAGGCTTTAAAAAGTATGGGGGCAACACTCAGTAAACAGATGATTTACACTGAGGAAAGGAAACCGTATCATAAAGTGGTCTGCCTAATCCCGAAGAAGAGCTATCGAGTTTGAAACAGAGGGAGGGTTGAGTATGAATGAAATGAATATGTAGCAGAGCAAATGAAAGAGATTTGGGGATAGAAACAAAGAGTTCAAGGCTGGTTGTGATGAAGTGATTAACTGCCACAAAAATTGAAATCTCTGGATTAAAAGTGGACGATTTTTTTCCCACCAAGATCCCTGTGAGAGCGTCTGGGAGTCTCTGCTTGGCTGTGTCTACATGTGTGTGTTTTTGTTTAGTTTGTCCAGCACATTTGCAACCCAGAGTGGCCTGAAGGTGTGTTCTTTATGTGGGTGTGTGTGTTAGTGTGTTGTTTATGCTCTATTGCACTTGTGACTGTGTTTACTCTCCACACGTGGCTGTGTAAACATGTGAGCACATCCTGTTCCTGTTAGCCACGGGGAGCTGTGAGAAGCCAGAGAGGAGACTCTGTTTTTGACTTTAGTTAGAAGAGTTCATGTCATTATCTGGAACCAAGAGCCATGTCTTCTCAGTCAATGACGGACCCTCATTAGATGTCCATTAAATGTTCTTTGCTCCCACACTCCTTTTGGCCGACTGTTATGTCATCCTGCTGTTTTAATAAGACTAATGTGTTTTATGAAGTCACAAGACAAGCAAGTGATAAAGGTTAGGCAGACAGACTACAGAGGCCATATTCTGGACATTAACACAGAAGCCCATGTTAACTACAAAAGGTAACTCTTGTCCAAAACACCATTAGTTTTTCATCAATGTTTTCAGCTACCTTCGGCCATCCTTTACTTTTGCATCATCATTGCACTAAACAAATCTAGTTAGGGTTTGGTATCTATCCACACAATGGAAAAAAATATAATACAATACTACAGAGTACTGACTAGAAACTGGAACCAGACAACATGTGCTTAAGGCAACCTGTCCCATGCAATACCCACTTACTTTCTAGTGTACTAAATTAACTTAACAAGCCTACTGCTAACTGCTGCACGATTTGGAGGTTTAGATAGATACCCCCTAGGCCAGGGGTGGCCAACCAGTCAGAGGTTAAGAGCCACATTTTTTCTATGTTACTGCAAAGAGCCACATCAAACACACAGTCACTGATACCGCTTGTTTCCGTTTTTTTGTTTTCTGGAGACAAGATTTCAACCACGTCACTGATGCATTTTTGTGGCATTGGGATATATATTTTTTAAATCCTCTGGAGCAGAGAGAGGAGCTGTGGATTATTGTTATTGATTAATGCATCAGTGTTACTTAGGGTCAAAAACACTAAACTCACAACTTAAAATGAAAGCGTTTAGTTTATTTAATAAAAGAGCACATGTTCAATGTGAAAAGTGACAGTAGTTATAGATTATTTGCAATTTGGTGCTATATATATTTAAAAAAAAAATTGTATATATTTTTTAAACACCTTGAATTTCAGGGGGGACGCGGGGCTCCGTTGGCGGGGCGCAGCGCCCCTCCAAAACAATGGTAGGGGAAACACTGGATATTGTTTAATCAACGATAGGTTTCCCCCCCCTCAAAGGTGATTGGTTCATTGCATCACAGGTATTATTTTGATTGGCTCTTGGGCCACATCAAAATTAGACGCGCTGTCATCCTCTCATACTGACACCTGACACCACACATACACACCGGGAGCCGGGACGAAAGTAACACGGGACGAAAGTAACGGAGCGATTTTATCCGAGCCCAAACAACTTTGACCGGCCAAATTATGTTAATATTTAACAGACCTACTAAATATCAGGTTTAACTGTCAGGAGTAGCTAGTGTTGTCACGATACCAACATTTTGGTTTCGATACCAAGTCAAGAATTGCGATTCTGATTCTTTTTTGATACTTTTCTTAAAAAAAGGGAAACAGTCTTAAATGTAATTATTGTGGTTTATTTCACACCAGAACCATAACCATAACACAAACTTTTAAACAATGAGAACAATAAATAAAATAAATGACAAGATTTCCTATTAAATAAAATTAATACATTTCTCACAGACAGGCCTCGTGGTGTCCGTAGGCTTGCCCTCACTGTCAGAGATATAGCTCAAATACTTCCAAATTTCGCTTCTGGCGTCTTTTTTGTCAACAAGCCGAGGCGCAGCGGCAGTTGCATTCCCACTTGCAGCCATGCTTCTCGTTTTCTCACATGCTCTGGCAGCTAGCGCGTGCACGAGAGAGGGGAGGCACTTGAGCGTGCTTGAGAGGGGAGGGACTGCAGGCACGGCTGCAGTGCAGGGAGTGGAAGCAGAGCGCTGAACACACACGGCTCTTATTAAAACGGCGCTTTCTCACCGGAGTACTTTCCCCGTCATTCTTAAAGTACCGATACTAATTAAACGGAGGAATCGTAACGTTTTTAACGGCAGGGTATCGCGGTACCTTTCAAGTATCGGTACACCGTGCAACACTAGTCAGGAGTCAGTGTCTCTCCCCCAAACTCACACATATACAATTCGATATGAACTGAAGAGCCGCATGAAACTAGGCAAAGAGCCGCATGCGGCTCGAGAGCCGCGGGTTGGCCACCCCTGCCCTAGGCAAACAAGAACTGTGTAAGGGTTAAGGTTAGCAAGAGAGTATAACATTAAATAGGTTAAGGTGCAGTCCAAGTAAACAGGTTGAAATGGTTTTATCTATTTATAAGAGTTTATTCTGGTTAAGGTCAGGATTAAAGACACAGGGTCTGTGTGTCTATAATGATGTCTCATTACTATTAGTTTCAGGTCCTTCTGATTCCCAGACAGCCTCAGTCTCTTGGTGTAACATGCTGGGGAGTCGGGGAGATTTGTGTGTGTGTGTGTGTGTGTCTTATATGTGAAGGGGGTGTGCTGGAGAAAAGAGGTCTGAACAAAGAAAGGGGGCAGTATAATTGGCTTCAGCACTGCAAGACGACACAATGACACAACCATTGATAATGGAATGAGTTCCTGGCAGCAGTAGACCAATGGCTGCGCAGGAGTCTGTTTTTCACAGCCTCTGATTGGCTGGCTGAGGGAGGCTGGCGGTCTCCAGGTAGCAAAATGAACCTTGGAGCATATCTGTCACCCCTCTGCCTTCTGGAGGAGGGAGGGAGGGAGGGAGGGAGGGAGGGAGTGTTAAATGTGGAAGAAAAGGTGTGATCTCTGGAGAGAAAGAAACAATTGATTTGCATGCACACATATTATCTTTTATATTCTGTATGTTGTGTCTCCTCGGCTACTCCCTCATCCCTTCTGCAGCTCTTTGTTTTTCTTTTTCTCAGACCCAGACGAGAGAGAGTGTGTGTGTGTGTGTGTGTGTGTGTGTGTGTGTGTGTGTGTGTGTGTGTGTGTGTGTGTGTGTGTGTGTGTGTGTGTGTGTGTGTGTGTGTGTGTGTGTGTGTGTGTGTGTGTGTGTGTGTGTGTGTGTGTGTGCGCATTTCTCTGGCTGTTATTAGCATCCACATTGCCAGGGCTCTGAAATAAATGTGTTTCATTTGTCTTTAACTTGGCTGTACACTCCACAGCTTCTCTCAGTCTCCTTTTCTGAGAACTGTGGATTAAAGCCTTCACTTCATTTGTTTAGATTGGCCATTTCTCAACTTCCCTGCTGCTGCAGGAGAGAAACACATGGCATTTAAACTCCAGAGAAACTGGGTTTGAGTGACTCCTGAAGAATCCCCAAAACAGCTTTACTGTTTTTGATACCTTAATATGTGACTGCATATATATTTGAATATGCTTCTGTGTTTTTGTGG